GCCTTCTGACACCAATTGTGTAAGACAAGATCATGATAGCTAACTTAGCCTAGCCTAGACTAGTGACCTGTACATCAATAGCCTCTGCTGGGGCAGAGAACGACATCCTGGACGAGGGGGGTACATCTCGGTACCGAGGAAGAGGTACATCTCAGAGCCGAGGAAGAGGTACATCTCGGAGCTGAGGAATAGGTACATCTCGGAGCCGAGGAATAGGTATATCTTGAAGCCGAGAGGGGGAGGCTTAGCGACCGATGTACCATATCAGACCGATGGTACGTGTCGGTACATAAAAACGTACTGGATGCCACTCGATCCCTATGATCAGTACCTCGGGGGAGAGGGGACTTGTGACCCGATGGATACGTGATCTCGGTAACAAGGATTAATGACACCGAGAATATGTGTTTTCATCTTGGAGTATTTCGAAAATGTCCCATAAACTAACTAAATTAAAGGAAAGATGTAAGATTGATGTACAAATAGACAAAAGTTTAAAGGCTAATTAGCAAAGCTCAGTTAGACAATTGCAAATAGCAGTCAGGGGCATCTTAAGTCATTTTCACATTTGACTATAGTTGACAGCGAACCAGGCACTTTGTTCGCCACAGAGAGACTCCGTACTGACTAACTGTCTCTTAAATCTCTCGTTCATTCCTTCCTCTCTTCCAATTTCAAACCTCTGCAAAGCACACATCAACAAGCTCACTCTCTCTCTCTCTCTCTCTCTACATGGCCACAGTACCTGTTGAAGAACCTTCACAACCTCTGAAATACCAGGTATATCCATATTCTTCTTCACTATGGTTTACCTTTCTGGTACCATACAAGCTTATTCATGATGTTTTCAGACATGGGTTTTGAAAGTTTCCATCCACTGTGAAGAATGCAAGAGAAAAGTCAAGAGAGTTCTTCATAGCATTGAAGGTATACTCAAATCAAACCTGTTTGGTTGCCGGGAAAGTGTAGGACAAGAAAGTAGTTCTTTTCTTTCCTCTAGTTTTTCCACCCACCAAGGTCATACTCTATTTGATATAACTCTTGGTTTCACTTTGTTATACTGTATATTCGATTTCTCTGCAGGTGTTTATACCACGGTCATTGATTCACAGCAACAAAAAGTTACAGTCATCGGAGACATTGACGCACCGATCCTGATAAAGAAGCTTGTGAAAAGTGGTAAACGTGCCGAGATGTGGCCGGAAAAGGTGTCCAGAAAAGAGAAAAAGTCCGGCAAATCAAAGGACAAAGAGAAACAAAAGGACCCAAAAAATAGCGATGAGAGTGACGATGAAGATGAAGAAAATACAGCTGAGAATGGTGAAGTGCAAAACAGTGGGACTTCTGTCAAATTTGTTCTCCGTGGGAGTGTTACCGGATGTAACAAAGAGGCAAAAAATGTAGGGAAGTCGCCGGGAAACGCTCCCTCCGGCGAGAAGTTTCCGGCGAAGGACCAAAAGGGCAATGGAAACAATGGGTCTGCTCAGAAAAGTGGTGGAGAGACTGGTGGTAAAAAGAAGAAAAAGAAAGGGGGAAAAGGTAATAATGCCATTAACACTACCGGTGCACCAGCAGGCACTGGATCGGAGATTCATATACAGGTTCCCACTCAAGGTATTGATCAAATGAATCTCAGCTCTACACATCAGCATCCAATCCAGTACCCGCCAAGTTACACCCCTCAACAAGCGCCCCATCCTACCATCAATACTGGTCCTACTTACTACATTCCTTCGTCACCGTTCACGTATGCATATTCACAACCGGCGGTTTATCCGATGCAACAGTCGCCGTTGGATTCGTTCGAAATACTTAGTGATGAGAACCCTAATGGGTGCTACATCATGTGATCAGTGTGATGCGATTGCAGTCAACGGTGGATGATGTTTTTGACTTGTTTTTGGAGATGGCTAAGATGAAAGCAAGAGTGAACCATCTTGTCATATGTACATAAGACTATAGTGCCAGCAAAATGGAAGGATTAGCAAATTTAGGATGGTTTCACTTTGCCAAGGAACCAAGATTTGTGTTTGTTTTTCTTCAAGTCCCAATCCCAATCCCAATCTGCTCTCGCTCGTCTTTACTAACAGGTTCTCAATTGATTGGGGTTGTAGATCTCTATGCCTATTAGGGGATAAATTGTTGGTCGAGTAGTTTTTAACACTATATCTCACTTTGACATGAAATTTTCGAGAAATTATCGGATATAAATTTTTTTTAATGAATTCAAGACTATGACCGAGTTGAGTAACTAGGCTTTCAAGCTCTATAGCAACCCCATTAAGGTACTACGAGAAAACTTTTAACTTGGTTTTCAAATGATTTTACGAATCCAAAATACATATTCTAATTACGAGTCCAAAAGAACATGTGATTGAAATGATTCTATTCATTGAAACTACCTAGAAAAGATTGAAGTTATCCGTACAAAGTTATTCCACAAGAACATTAAAAGGACAGAACTGATTCTTGACATAAAATTCCAAAGCACAGTTGCAGTACATACACACACACACACATATGTGTGTGAGAGTGCGAGTGCTGAGAATTTGCTCCTGTTGCTGCTGTGAAACGCAAGAAAGCCTTTAGAAGCACTTGATGGGAAAGAATAATTGAGGCTCACCATACAATGGAGAATATTCACTATGCTCTGGTCTTCTTCACTAACCTAGAGAGTGCTATATCTTATCTATTATATTCATTGATTGATCTTGAATTGTTACCAAGGAATGGGTAAGGCTAATCTTAGAATCTCCATCTAGAATAAGATTGAGAGCTAGTTGAAGCAAATCACAAATCTATGGGTAAATTACAATGACACCTTCAAACTATATGCTTAGTATCCTGCCATTTGTTAATATTTTCTAAAAAGACCAAGAAATTAAATTTCGTTTCCAAACGAATCATTGATTGAATATCAAAATTTTTATATTTCAAAGTGTTTTGGTGTGTTTCGACATACCTCTGTATAAGACTAATAGACATAAGCGCTAAAAATACTTAACAAGTCATTTAAAATATTATTTTTGCTGGTATCATCTTTTTCAATGGCCCAACAGATCTTACTATTACAATGTTGAATCATTGGGGGATGATATTGTAATTTATCCAAAATTTATGCATTCAAATACTCTATATCTTTTGACCTACTCTTGATTAAAAGCAACAGTGAATTTTGTTATCCTTTCAAGTTGATTGTCCAGTTGACATTCTAAGCTCAGGTCAAATGAGGCCACATTTATCTTTAGGAATAATATTCTCTTCTTTCTTCCTCTTACTTTTCTTTGATTAATCAAAGTTAACATAATATCAGAGCATGGTTTCAATCCAAAATATATATTGTAGTACCACAGTAATTTAATTGGAGGAAGAATATATTCTTGAGTTGTGTGATTTGAGGGTTAGATATTGGTGGATTGCTATTTTTTTTTGATTCCAAGAGTTGTGAACAGTGCGAAAGTACTGTTCACGCACTGTGAACAGTACCGACATTACTGTTCATGCTGTGAACAGTGCTGATTTTGATTTTTAGTGCCTTTTGGTGTTTTGCTACTGTCTTGCTATTTTGTTACTGTTTTGCTGTCTCTATTTGTCTTCTGGACTTTTGAAAGTTATGGAATTTGAGTTGTCTAGTTGCTGGTTTGATTTATTAGCTCGAGATACTTGTATTAAGGCCTATTGAGCGTCTGCTTCTTTGTTGATTTTTGGTTTGTGAAGTTGGTAGGTTGGGATCTGCTGTTTAGATTGCTATTTTTGTTGATTTGTTGTTGCCTCTTCTCTTCTGCTGGTGCTTTTTCTTCTTCTAGTTGCTAGTCTGGTTGTTTCTTCTTTGTTTGCTACTGTTGCTTTGGGCTTTTGGACTGATTTGTTGATTAGTTGGTTTTGTGCATTGGTGAGTTGTCACGTTGTTGGTTTTTGATTTGTTCGTTTGGGCTTGCTATTTGACATAGCGTTGCATTGTTTCGCACTGAATAAGTAGGAAACTTTTGTTTCCATTTGCATTGTTTCGCATTGAATAAGCAGGAAACTTTTGTTTTCACTTTTGATTGGTGGGTTTGAGCCTTTGTGACTGATTTTGTGAACGAATTGCTGGGCGAGTATTTGATTTGTAAAGTTGTTAAGTTGATTTGTGACGAACTTTAAATTGTTTGGCGTTGTCTACATCTTTTGGTTCTAGTTTCTGATTTTAACTACTGCTAGTTTGAGACTAGTTCTGGTTTGTTTTTTTTTTTTGTTGGGATTTATTTTGTTGAGCATTGTTGCTGGTGATTTTTGTTGAGCTTTAGTTTTCTGTTGGACCTCTCATTGCTATTTCATCGTCTCTGGAACTTCGTGCTTACTTTGATGCGGACTGGACTGGTGACTCTATGTATCGCAAGTTCATTATTGGTTTCTGTCTTTTCATTGGTGATTGTTTTATTTCGTGGAAAAGTAAGAAATAAACTGTTGTGACTCGATCATCTGCTGAAATTGAGTATCATGTTATGACCTTCCTAACAACGGAGATAGTTTGATTGTATTGGCTCCTTAAAGATGACATAAGCACAAAGGTTAATGGAGCATATTTTTCCTACTTTGACTTTGCCAACGGCCAAGAATAAAGATAAGCACCAACATAGAGTATCATTTTAACATGAAAAGGCAATGCATGATCAGACTAGTTGAACATTTCACGATAAAGAGAGTGATTCTTAGTCTCAATTAGATTACTGTTTAGCCGAGCTCATCTGATGGGGACACTTAGCAATTTTTAACAATGTAATCAATACCTGCAACCATTTACCTTCTTTGCCAAGCCTCTCACCTATTGACCATGTTCCCAATAAAACTTGGAAACAATATATATAAAACAAAAAAAACCATATTTACAATTTTCGCGAAAGGTGGCATTCATGAAACCCATAATTGCATTGCACATCGGGCAGCAAACTATATACATATTAAAAATAGAACACGTCGACAAAATTTTAAGGTTTTCAATCCCAAAAAAAACAATGATCACAAATTACAGAATATGAAATGAAAAGGATGTTGTGTTAGATTTCATAGAAAGCTTGGAGAAGAAGACGGAGGCACACAGAGAAGGTAAGAGAAACAATTATTTTCCATTACATTTTCAGTTCAGAATACAAGTATTTATAGTCAATCCTAGTTACAATGCCAGCAACGACTAACTAACTAACAGACTGTCTTGTAGGCAAGTGACTTCAGCAACCGACTCCAATGCAGTCACATGATATGAAGGAAATACTTGTGTGTAGTGCTGGTATTGTATAATATGTAGAAGAACTTATAGGCATGTTGATGCCTTTGAAGTGCGCTTATTTGTCCCCAGGATGATCACAATTACTGTTACATCATCGTGATATTTCCTTCGCCTACCAGCTGGGATATTCATCAACTCCTCCATGGTGAAACCTGCAACAGTAAATTAATGCTTTGAACAATTGAGAATTGTGGGACCAAATTGTGGGCATTTTGATAATAGATTTGGTTGCATACACTTTTCGTAGGTTCAACCTGTAAGTTAAAGGTGGGATTTAACAAGCCCTTAGTGTTATTCTTTCGTTGACCACCTTAATGTGCAAAAAATTCTGAACCTAGTCAATTTTTATTCAAAGATAAGGAAACATAGCAGAGTGCATCAATGCTGTCAGATTAAGCATCAGTAATGGGCATATCATAAAGGTGTTCTTATTAGATGGAATCAAGATTTTGAAGTACTTAAATCATAAAACAACAGAGATGAAAGAATAATCGTATTTGAGCCCAAGACAATTGGCACTGTACCTGCACAATCAGCTGCTCTCACTACAAGCTGCTCCAATAGAAACTTTGCTGGATCACCCGAAGGGTTGCTTAAGATATAAGAATGTACAAGCATCACTGCCTCATCATTGCTGAAGAAGTCAAATAAACCATCGCTTCCAAGTATGACAAAGTGATCAGAATTCGAAATTTCATGGACTTTAAGTGACGGCTGAATGGAGATGTATGGTGGACTTATAAGATTACGAACCCGAAGAATACCCATCAAAGCATCATTCATATTTTTCTGCATAAATAAATCAGAATAGTTTATTCCTTGTTGAGGATAAATCTACTCCAATAAAAGTACAATTACAAGTGGGTAAAGACATGCAGGATCCGAGCTCTCTGTTTTACTTCCAAGTGAGACGAGCCACTTTGCCAAAACCTTTATTTTGTTTTGTTAAGAAAAAATATTCAATACATGTTTCCTAGTTTGCAAGTTGGTGACTTTCGCTTTTCAGATCAAAGATGGTATAAACATTTGTTGGTGCAAGGTGATTAATAAAGTAAAAAAATAAAAATTTCTACCTTCTTTAAGTAGCCGACTCCTAATGCCCGAGTGACTTGCAACTTTCCTTTCACCTTTCCAGCTACAACTGTGGTCGGGTCATCTGGATGATCACACAAAAGTAGGGTTCTCTCGACTTCATTGTCAACAGTATGACTATCAGTGAGCTGAATAGCCAGCAGTCCATTATTCTCATTCATCTCATTGCCTTCACCATATGTTGCCAATACAGTCCGACTATCACCTAAGTTGAGCACATACAAGTCTTTCCCATGGAGAAGCACAACTAAAACACAAGATCCAATTGACACTAAATCGGGACGGTTGTCCATTTCTTGTTCAACCCTGTACAGGAAATCATTCTCTGCTTGACCAAGAGCACGTTGAAGGCTATCAAGGACCCTATGTTTGAATGAATCAGATGATCTTCCCCATTCAGCGCAGGAAGGTCTATTGACATAGTAATCAAGATACGTGCCCTTGTTAGCATTTTTTATAGCAATATTACCCTCATTTCTATTGTAAACATCAAGATTACAGTGAAGGGACCCATCTGAACCCAAACTATCAGAAGCTCTAATTGGATCCTGCTTGAATTCCCAGTCTAAGAGGTTAAGGTAAAACCCAATAGTTTCATATAATGTTCCAGCAAGAAAATCGGCGGCATCTCTTCCATTGAAGCCATCATAGATGGCACAGAAAAGCCACCCATTCTCTTCAGAACAAACGGCCTGAACTCTGTCTTCACCGGCAGCACCACCTGCCACTTGTACTTCCATAGTATTTAGGAAACCTTCACTTCTGGAAGGAGCACTCATGGACTTCAAAGAAAAGGAATCATATTCAAGTAGATCACTTGTAGTGGATGGACTACAGCTCAAGTTTGAATTGCTACTCTGGAGAGACGATGATAACAGATCCAACTTTGAAAGTGAGGGTGAAGAAGGAATCTTCCGAAATGAATTGGGGGAGTCCCAAGTAGGGAGTATTTCTGCCCCAATTAATCCATTGCAAATATTTGTGTTAGCCAATGTGGCATTGGCACTTAAGGCAGCCCCAGACAGGCAGGAGAAGGAACTGTTGGTTCTTCGTAGTTTAATTCCAGATGGGATATCAATACCATCAGATAAGTCACAAGAATTGCCTTTTTCGTCATTGCATTGATAGCCAAAACTTACTTTAATTTCTCCGTACGCATCTTTTGTTTTCATTCCACGCGTCATCTATAGCTGAAAACATCACCAATATCCCAATTTGTAATCGAATAAATACTATTTGCAAATAAAATTGGATCAGCACCAATTCTTTTCTTTTCACAGATGCCCTCTACCATAGTGGTGCACTTTTTACTCTCTTATTGCCGTTCTTTTTAACATGCAGTGAACAAGATTACTAATTTACAAACAACAGATAATTTGTCAGAAATGTGCGTTGATAGCAAAAAATCAAATCTAATTACCTGGGATTTATGTAAGGTTTACAATCAACAAATTGTACGATTCAAAAATCCCAATCTGTAGCTGTATAAATAAAATATACATAAACAGAGTTGTCACTTATAACTCAATGTTCTAGAATCAAAAACTAAAATTACCAGCCATAACACTTGCTTGCCCCAAATTTCTTCGTGTAAGAACAATAGTGAGATTTGTTGGAGATAAATTAGTAAAATATACATGGGTTAGAGAGAGAGAGAGAGGGGGGGGGGGGCAACCTGGTTAAATCAAGAAGGGATCCCTACAAGGGTCTGATTTCTTTGTTCTTTGCGCAGCAATCAGAAGTCACAAATGGGGATGGGATGTGGATTATCAGCCCAAACACATTCATAAACACCAATTCATACAATCAACCAAAATAAAACTCAGTAAAAGTTACAGACTAAATGACCCCATATAAACAAAATCCACATGCATATTCACTACCCAAACATAGAAGAAGCATATTAAAGAGTTAAAGTTCAACTCAGCTAACCTTCTTGATCTCCAAAAGCAAACCCAGATCAACAAAACACTTAGAATGCTATTCTTGTTTCAGTGATTAGTGAACTGAAAGTATGTATATGGGTTTGTATTAGCATCCCTGTGTGGCACAAGAAAAAGGAATACTAACTTGTGAATTTAGAGGGAATCTCGGAAGGAAGAGAGAGAGAGAGAGAGAGAGAGGCAAAAGAGAAATTGAATGGTTAGGAAGAGAGATGGCTGAATATAGAGAAATTTTATTCGGCTGAGGTTGTGGGTGGAGGCAAGTCAAAAGTTCAGATACACCAAAACCGGTAATTTGTTATAGTAGTTGTGCAGACTGTAGAGGGAAAAGTGTTGTTTCATTTTGGTGCGGAATAGTCTCCACATTTTTAGCTATATTATGAAGTTGCCCCCTTTGACTTTTTTTCCAGATTTTTTTTAATTTTTTTTTTAATTTTTTGTGTTTACAGACATACAAACCGCTTAAAGTCCATTAAGAAATGAAATGATTGTTCTTTCCTAAAGTCAAGCTGAGATTTATATTTCAATCCCATCACATTGCCTCTAAGAACTTACAAAAAATACATTAAAAAAAAAGTAGATGAGAGAGAAGTTGAAGAATTGGGAAAATGGATTATACTAGAATGGTTAAGAATTTCTGCAGGAGGAATGTTTAATATGAAAGATTAAAAAATACGATAATTAAATATTTATGGAGGGAAGACTACGCGCGTTTGATTCTCTTTATAGATATATTTGAAGAAAGATAGTAACCCATGATATGTGGCCTGAAATTATTGAATTTCGATCGCAATTAAGTTATGCTGATGATAATATTTTTGGGCACTCTCTCTCATTGAAGGATATTTTTAGGAAAATAAATGAGTATACATTCATTAAGCCTGCAACTTGAACAAGCCTGGATATGGTAGGGACACAAGACCCAGACACCCAAGAAAACTGGAGCCCCAGACTGGTTCTCAACCGTGGCCATGCACTTCTATGTGGATCACATTAGTAGATCCCCCATGCATTGCTCCAAACAGGTAACAAGATAGAATGCAGCCATGTACACTTCCAGTGGCCCTCACCATATATTTTGCTTGGGTGAGATAGTGACAAACATCAACATGTGAAAATGTGCGTGTGTGTGTGTGTGTGAGAGAGAGAGAGAGAGAGAGAGACGTTGTAATAAAAACCTCAAGTTCTAACAAAGAACTCAAGTGTTATTTCATTTGTTATAGATTCTCAAATCTCAGTCAAGTATGAACCCCTCTAGAGTATTGATTCCTACAGTTACCTTCAAGACTACATTTACCAAGCCATAATAAATACCATCAATTGTCAGATGCTTGTAGCATCAATAAGGACTAAGGAGATACACACCATTAACATAAGTGGAAGCCCATCTAGAAACAGAAGGATACAGTTCAAGAATCAAAATTAGGATCCAACATTATAGAACACTTTTGTCAGCCCCTTCTTTGTCCGCATTTGAGAAACCTGGATACGAAGTTTAAAAATGTCACCAAGAGCAAGAACATAGTCCGTGAATCATCAACTCAATACCGTTGGACAAGAAATATAAGGAATTGAAATACATGGTTATAACTACTGGTTGTGTAAGAAAACCTTAGAAAAGAATATAAAAGACAAGACTCAAGAAGAAAAGTTCGTTTTGTCAGTATTTTGAAGCAGCAATATTGAAAAAACTTATTTGTCAATCCACTCCCTGAGATTTTTATCAATTCATAGGGCTCTAGAGTCTAGGCAGTTTAACTAACCTTGATTTCTGTGTGGCCTATTCAGTAAAACATGTTTTAGAAGTTGGCATAAACCTTAATGCACAGATAATTCTGATTCCATGTTCTTGTAGAAAAGCACACATATTCTCAGCAGAATATGATGGCATAAACTGAAAGAATCTATGCAAATCAGATTTACAGGCACTGAGCGGTAATCTACATAAATTGCAAGTGAGAAAAATGATATCAGTACCTTCATACTCATGATTTCAGAAATATCAGAAACATGTGTACCGCCACAAGGACAGCCTGGATTATTTCCCAACTTCAGAATCCGAGGAGTGCTTTCCTGCATTAGTTGCAAACAAAATAATTAATCTTCATCAAATTGTAGCTCTGAAACTGGAAAGCCCTGAATGAGCAGGGATAAAAAGATCCATGTTTATGTAAGGCTCTGTTAAACTGAAGCACCATTTGTTCATCAAGATTCTATATGGATTATCCATTAACATGAAAAAGTAATGACGAAGAAACTAATAACTCACAAATGCTCTCTCAACTAATCCACCTTTGATTCAGAGAGCAGTTTTTCAAATAACAGTTAAACTATCTGTGGGCTCTGGTAGTGTCTCTTAAGTAATTAATGACCGAACATAAGATCCAAATAACAAGCTATGCGCAAACAACATGCACTAAGACTAGTGACATGTATCCAGAAAGGACATGTTCAAACGACGAAACTGTTTAACCAGACATAAGTACATCAAAACCGTCATATTCTTCAGAAAGACAGTCAGAGAGCTACCGGCAAAAGGATTTTTGTGATCATCTCATCAGCTTTCTACGTGCTTATAATGACATTAGACCAAAACGGAAACATGGGGCATGACCAGCGACCAGGATAAAATCCTTTGCTTTGATATGCCACAGATTGTGTATGCCGTGAAAAACATAGATATGGAAATGAAAGACACTAAAAGGGAGAGCCTTTTTTGTTTATCAAAGAAATATAAACAACACACACTAGGTATCCGACCAATAGATGAATAAGTATGAACCTGGCAAAATAAACCAATGCACACTTGTTAAAACAGAACATTGCCTACTCTCAGCTTCCTTTTGCCATTCTACTTAAACGACAACACTTTAAAGAAATCAATACTTCAAAATTAAGCAGAAGAAAGCAAGACAAAAAGTGTGAGTAACATGTTTGGTAGATGAAGTTGAAAAAAGATGCAAAACATATGTTTCATTAATATTCCACACATAAACTTTCTAAGTAAACATGTCCCATCTGCATTTGGTTTCCCTTCCCTACACACCATATAGTTACTTATTCTTGGTGCACCTGAGCAGAATACAAAAAATAAATAAATAGATAAAGGTCGACATCATTGCTAAAACCCTGACCTTGGGAATGTAATCAGGAAGGCATCCACCACACAGTTTACAAGCTTCATCATATGGTAAAATAGCAGCAGAAATCTGAAAGGAATGTTGAAGAGAGTACTCAAATATTAATTATAAAATGAAAAAATGATCCATCCAGAAAAGAATGTAGGAATTAACATACTTTCCCTCCCCCAGATATCAAATCATTAGCTCGTAGTTCTAACTCCTTTTGTTTGCTTTGCAATTCATTCTGTGGAACTGTGCCTTTATATTCTACAAATGGCCTGACAAATGATGAACTTCATAAATACCAATTCCAAGGAACTGGATTCGCAATTAAAGGCCTTGCACAACCATGAAATATACTCATAAATTAAAGAGTAAAATCTTCTTAAGTTTGATATTCTATTGATATAGACACGTACAATAAGTTTACAAGATAAATTTGCACTTTAGAGGATATAGTCAACATTATAACCATAAGGAAAATGGTAACCGTCATCATGTGAAATCCTACCCATCAGGAAAATGGTAGCCCTTGCCTTGCTCTAAATGACCTAAACCCACATTCCTCATACATACATCAAGCAAATGACCAGCCGAGTGTAGCCTGCACAAAACAAAGATACAAAATTACAATATCCCAAAACAAGGAAATGAATTATTGGTAAAAGCAAGAATTGTTGCGGGAATAAAGGAAGACAAACAAGTATTCGGACAATTGGACATAACGTATCACGAGATGTTTAAGCTACTCAAAGAACGAAGTGGCGGAAACAAATTGTAGTGAATAGAAAAGATAACATCCTAAAAGATATGGAATTCAAAGAAAGCCAACAAAAAGATATTTAGAAATCAATTTGAACAGCATAAGATTATTAACTTCAAAAAGCATAGTAAGCTACTAATATTGGGTTGAACAGGCATTCAATATATGCATTCTCATATATGTAATTACGTGAACAATCAACAAGTTTCCATTTTTGAATATGGTATACCTAGAATTGAGCTTTCGCCTCGGTTCATCCACATTTAGACTAACTTCAACAACTTTCTCAAGTTCGGATTCGAGTACCCCATTTTCAGAATTTTCAACAAATCCATAGTGAAAAACCTGTTATTAGAACAATTAAACAATCTTAAAAAAAAAAAAACCCAAAAATCCATATAAGTCCAAACAAAATGGGGAAATTAGCACAATAAAGAAGTAACATACGATTCCTTCTTTCGATCGAACATCTTGGACAATAAATTTGAAGTGAGAGTTGGTGATGAAACCAGTATCCGATGGTTGACCACCACCTTGTGGGTGGAAAATGGTCGATTCCAAGATCAATGCACGTCTACCATCCTCCCCCTTTTTTGATCCACCCAGAAGAAGATTGTTAATCCTATGTTTTAATGGGTATGTGGGTAATCATTCAGATTAGCGGAATTGCTAGTAATCAATTACCTGGAAGTCAGAGAGAAGGGTGGAAGTGGATTGGAACTTCCACATATCGTCATAATATTCCAACTTTGTTGGGTTCAGATGATCCATGGATGGATGAACAGTTGTTCTTCAGAGTTCTACAAAAAAAGCCGAACCTCACCCACTTTCCTAGACTGTATTGTGGAGACAAGAGAAGTACAGCAATCGATGTTGGTAGACTAATTTGGTCAACTGTCACTGTGGCGCCGCCTCCCTTTGTCTTTGTTTTTGCTTTTGTTTTTATTTTATTTTTTTTAGTTTAATTGTTGGCGCTCTTCGGATCGTTTTGTAATTTAGATATTTATAAAAAATAAATTTTTAATTTAATCTTAATCAATTATTAATATTGGAATATAAAATATCTGAGATACTGTCAAGATTATTTGTTTTAGGTAGTGTACGGCACCGAAATGTGCTTTTTGGGAAATAAGCTCCTCATATTTCATAAATAATAACTAAGCATATCAAATATTCTATTAGAATGGGAATATGGCAGAAAACATATACAGTTACCCAACTTGCATGACAAAAAAACACACAAATTTTTTTATTGAAGAACAAGAACAAAGCAAACACCACACACAAGCATGAACAATCTCAACTACCTATAGATACCAGAGCCTAATTCACAACCCTGCAGTTCTTCCTTATCTCTCCATGAACCCCAGTGAGCAAATCAATTTCACCCATTTTCACCATTGCTTCAGCAAATTTGGAAGCCCATTTACCCGGATGATTGGCATTGTTCTTCACCATTTTTCTTGTCACCAAGCTGCTGCTCCACAGGACCTGATCTGAAGCCACTAACCCCTTGTGACTCTCCAAAATCTTATAGTAATTATTATCAAGCAGGTTTGGTGTTACAGGATCGAAAGGAACCACAGGATCAGGAACAACAGTACTAGTACTGTTCGTTTTCGATGCCGGACGAGGACATTTGGTTCTGAGATAATTAGCATAAGAAAGATTCATAGATGGGTCCTGTGAATATGTTGAATTGAATGAATAGAGCCGTTTTGAGAATGAAGAACAGTGAGAGTCACCAATGGAGTGAGCACCAGAGAGTGTCACCATTTCTGCCATTGACAACCCCTTTTTAGCAAAGTTTTCTCTCAGTTGTGTCACGTTGAAGAATGAACCAGGGAGGTTTTGGGCTGCTTCAGCCGCTAGTGAAACTGTTCCATCGCGGCGGCCACCGGGAACGGCGTAGTAGGTGCCACCTGCCATGGAAACACCATCTCGAGCTGCGAAGGCGACTATGTCTGCACAAGAAACTGTTTGTGGGCATGCAGCTTCTAGGTTGGCCTTGACTTGGTCGATCACATCAAAGCCAGATATGCCTAGGTTCGCCGGACTATCTTTCTCGGCCAGGTTGGCCGGTGTTGAGTCAAGAAGGATGGAGGCATCACAACCCTGTAAATACAATTTTTTTTTTGACAATTAGGGTTGCTTGCAAAAGAACCAAACTGTTCATAAATTGGTCGGAATTGGTTAAGCTATGATCCGTTAATACAATATAAACACGACATAAAATTAGAGAATTTTAGTCTTTCTTAAGCTATCTGTTTAATAAATGAGTGAATTCGATACAACACAATTAATAAATGAATTAAGTATAGATCAAGTCAATCAGAAGAAATATAAGACTTGTTTATTAATTATAAACGGTTTATACATGAAACAAATTCGATATGATACGATTTATTAGACACAAATTAAAAAACGAATCAAATATGGGTAGAGTTTTTTTGACACGAACCTATTAAGACCCGATACGAATCTACCTTAGTCGGCACGATTCACGGGCCTAATTTATGTTTATTTATTTATTAAATGAAGTAAGCCGAAATTCAATTTTAAAGTTTATATAATAAACAAGTCAAGTCCGAATGATATAATTTTTTGACTTATATTAAGAATACTCTATATATGATATATCATACACTAAAGATTATAGACATACATATATGGATGGGATTATTAATTCATTACTCTAACAAAACAGTCGTGGACGTGCAATCTAATGAGGGCAGCAGGGACTCCATTGTCAGTAGCAAGTGCCTGGTTCACTGTGCTTTTCACTATAGCCTCTGCTGATGGGCAACTTTTCTGATAAAACCCAACTTTCAATGGTGCAATCATGGCCATTGAAGAGCTTAGAAAGATTGCCAAAAAGAAGCACAAAAAAGGGAACAAGTTTGCCATTTGAAGCAGATGTAATACAAACTAGCTAGAGAGTGAGAGAGAGATTTGGATGGAAAGTGTGGATAACACAGGCCAATGTGTAGTTGCAATTTATAGAGAATCAGCGGCGGCCATACACAGAGTAATTTAATGGAGAGAGAGAGAGAGAGAGACATAGAAATAAGAAAACAAGGGACGTGAAGAAATTCCATTGCAAGACTGAATTCTTTTAACATAAAAGAATTGAAGGCGTGTGTCCCCCACACGATTTCTCCTTTAAATATATTAAACTTTAGTTCTATCTTGGCCATTCCAGACTGGGGGTCTAAGGTTCTTGATTCATACAGTTTATTCTTTATAGGTTTTTTTGGTTCAACGGTTGTTCGGATCGGTATACACACACTTTAACTAATTTTTTCTTTGATTCGGTCAAAAATAGGTCATTCTCAACTAAAATATTTATAAAAGATAAATTTTTCATAATCTGGTCATAAGAGACTACTAAAATTTAAATTTAAAGACGACGGAGTTTACAAGTTATTTTTATTACTATTTAAACTATCTATGAATTTATTCTTTAAAGTTATATCTAGTGCAAGTGCCCATTGAATGACAAAACAGCAAACGAGATGGAAAAATTCTACATCAAAAGGCAAGTTTATCATAAACAAAAATACTATTTTTTTTTTTTGATGAACAAGAGTCAAACTACTACACAAAACTCCTTGAGAAGAACAAAAATACTGTTTGATCATATCGATTATCACGTCATTTAGTAAATGTCTTAATTTCAATTTTTTTTATTTTGGTTAATATTTGTTTTTTTTCCTTCTTTTACGAATCAAAATAACATTGGTCAAAGTTAAACCCTAAATTCTGCTCTCTTTAACGAACTTGATGAAGTTTCGTGGTAAGATCACTTTCACATTTAACAATTTATTATTATTATTTTATTTTATTGGTTTCTTTACAATTGACATCATCAAATAATTAAGGGATATTTCTAAATTACATTCTGAAAGATCGTTCGAATTTTAATTTACACCCTCAAAGATAGGAATTTGTATCAATGCGTACTTGAAACTAACGGCCATCAGTTTTCCGTCTAAAATTAAATGGATAAATTATACCTAGATCCCCTCATATTTGTCACTTAATTTTTGGACCCTTCACATTTAGAATATTACTCCTACACCTCCTGACGTTTTTACACGTATAACACATAACTCCTTGTCGTTGATATTTGTTAATATAACTGTTAAAAAATATGATTTCATTCTAATAAAAAATTATAATTTTATACTACTATTTATTTTGTGGGTCCGTTATACTCTAAAGTTTAAAATCACGCTTAACATTTGAATGTCTAATATAATGCAAATATTTATATAATATTTTTTATATCTAATGCAATATATCACTTAAACAGAATTATTTAAATGTCCAATTAGAGGAACATTTTTAATTATATTTAAATTCTCAACTATAGGCTAATTTGCCTTTTAGATAACTAAAAGAATAACTAGAGAGAGAAGCTCCGACTTTTCTGTAGAATTTCTTCCTTCTATGAGTTTTTCACAAAACACAACCAATATTCCTCCAAAATCTCTAGATTTAACATCTCAACCAATACATCTTCCAAAACAACCAGATTATGATCCTACACAATCAAATCAGCAACAACAACCACAAGATACACAACATAAACCAATAAACACATAGCTTACCCATGCCTCTCTATTCAAAAAAACTTATGTTCATCAACATGCAGAAGAAGAAGTGCAGAAACTTGACAAACCAATTGTCTTTTATGAAGGTGTACCTGCGTTTTACTTTACCAATGAAGAAGTAAAGGAGTCATGCCAATCGTTGCAGTATACTCTCATTGGGAAGTGTTCTTATGGTCGGCCATCCTTTGGTGTTATTAAAGAAGTGGTCAGAAACAAATGGAATTTGAAAGGAGATTTTGAAGTTGACTCGTTGGATCAGAGACATGTCCTTATCTTATTTCAGCTACATGAAGACTACGTCAAAATATGGCTTAAAGATATCACCTTGATTGAAGATTATTTGCTCAGATTTTTTAGGTGGTTCTCTGGCTTTGTTCATGGTATTCAACCTTTAATTGTGCCTATGTGGGTGCCATTACTAAGGTTACCATTGAATTTCTTCAAGAGACAATATCTGGAGTAACTGGTGAAGCCAATTGGTACGGTGTTAGCTTATGACCAATCAACATTATCCTTATCTTGACGAGGGGTAGCAAGAGTATGCGTTGAAGTGAATTTACCAGCAAACAATCCTTCAAGAATTTGGTTAGACATGGGAGACGAGGGAACAAGATGTCAGAAAATTATCTACGAGAAGACTAAGAAATTCTGCAAGGTTTGTGAGAAGCTAGGCCATGGCGATGAAGATTGCAGGAAGAAGAAAGCTTCAATTCAGAAAGTGGACGCAGAAGGAAAGAATCTAGATTTACAAGAACTCATTCCACATATTAGGGCAGCTGATAAAGGAAGGGCGGTACAGATCTCGCAGATTAGCAATCCTGTCAAAGGTAATAAAGGGCAGACTGGAAAGAAGTCGAAAATGGAATCAGTAAATCAAGCAAACTAGATTCAGAAACCTCAAAAAATTTGGAAATATAGTGCTGGAGCATCCTCAGTAAATCCCCAAAATCTGATAATTCAATCAAGAGTGAATGTGAATTTGGAAAGTCCAAGGCAAGCAGTAGATTCCCTTTCTGTGGCAGCAAGGCAGGTTTTGGAAACAGGGGATTATGGGAAAGATGTTTTTTCTCTTAGTCTTAATATGCTGGAAGAAAACCAATCTTCTCCTAATTTGCAGGTAGAAAATCCTCCATCGAATATTCATCAAGAGAATCAGTCTGTTCCTCATTTGCAGGCAGATAATCCTCCCTCTAATATACATGAAGATATTCCTGTTGAACAAAATCAGGAAAATGAAAGGCAATTAGACGATGCTGCTCAAAATCAATTAGAAGATTCTGATCAATGCCAGTTAGAAGATGTTGTTCAATGTCAGTTAAACAATGCCCAAGATATAAGGGAGGTGGAAACAGATGAGTCAATCAAAATATTGAGAAAAGGGGACCATTCTGGGAAGAAATGATGACAACAATATTGAGGGAGATATTCTAGCTAAGGCAAATGTACCAGTCTTAGATTTTGCGAATTCCCCAGTTCCTAGCCAAACTCTGATTGTGGATGAAGAAAAATGCACAGGGTAGTGCGCCAATGATTCTGGTAAGGAGAATTCTCACAAAATTTTAAAAATGGGTGCAGGTAATAAAGTATATCAAAGGCAACATAAAAGAGTTTCTGTCAATTTTCTTAATCTAGATAGAGAAGATGGTGAGATTCTTTCGAGTAAAGATGATGGTGAGATTTTCTCAAGTTCAGATGATGATTCAGAAAATGATATTGAAGAGTCTTTCTCTTTGAAAGGTCCATGTATTCTGAATAAGGAAGCTTTGGACCCATTGTACAAGCGTTTAATTATTTCTAAGGAAATGGTGGAAGAAGTTCACTAGCGCATCCATAGTGAAAAGGAGCTCATTCCAAATATGTCCAGGAAAGAGATTCACCAAGAATTGAAATTAAATGGAATTTTTTCTCATGATGATTGTGTGAAAGAGTCTTCGCTTCATGAGAACACAAGAGGGTTTTCCTTTGATGGAGAGGAGGATAGTTTAGTGACCCAAATGCATTATAAGTCTTTTATGGCTAAGTCCAAGGAGTTGTTGGGAAAACTCAATACTGTTGAGAGAAAAAAAAAACAAAAAAAAGAGAGAAAAGAAGAGGAGCTAGCTGGCGTTGAATAATGACTTAGTCGTGGAAAATTCAGCAATAACGACTAGGTCCAAATCCAAACTAACCTTTAAAATTTCAAAACAAAAGAATCCACACGAATTTAGGCACTAAATAGAGGATATTTTGCTTCGGCCGAAGGCTCAGCTGGTCTTATCCACTACTGCACAGCCCCAGTTCTTTCAATTCAATTGGTCTCCTAGTTAACTGGTCTATCCACTATTAGCTGAACACTTGCAAATTTAAAAAATTGCACGTTTAAAATAATTTACTTTTTACTTATTTGCCTTTTTTTACTTAATTTATGTAGTAAGATAATATCGAGTGGTAAGGTTCTCTTAGCTAGATGTAATTTGATTTTTTCAAATTAATAAAATTTCCTCACAATGTTCAAAAAAAAAAAGGGATGTAGATGTAATATTTCACAGGTCTAGATGATTAAGTGATAAGTATGAGGTGTCTAAGTGTAATTTATCCATTTAATTTTAGACGGCAAACCGACAATGGTTAGCTTGATGTGCGTATTGATATAAATTTATATTTTTAAGAGTATAAATTAAAATTTTTAATCTTTAAAGATACAAATTAAAAATGGACCGATGATCTTTCAAAATGCAATTTAAGATTTAAGTGATTAACCCAATAAACAATTGAGAGGCGTGTGTCCTCCACACAAGTGCCCTTTTAATTATATTAAATAATATTCTTTAAAAAAACTTAATGGACTGCCAGACTGGGCTCTATTGTTTGACACGGTTTCACCTACTTTGTCGAGAAAATCCGGTGGAAAAATTACTCATCGCAACGATGATACTTTATCAATATTATTAACATAATATCACCAATTAATAATGTGTAAATAAACATGAAAATAGATCTCATACAAGACAATAACTACTCACTCTTCTTCCATGTAAATTAATAACTGCAGTACTCAAGAAAGGTGTTTTTTATCCATTTGAGGTTTTATTATTGGTTGGTAATACTATGTCATCAATACTAGCATTATATCACCATTGCATTAAATATTTTCTTTGGCTAAAGTACACACAAATTTTAAAATTTAAATATTTTACCTTAAAATTTCACTACAATAAAACATTTCCGAAGAATTTAAAATAATATTTTGTTATAGTGAAAATCTATGTATAGATAATCACTAGCAACATAAATAAATACTTTACAATATTTTTCTTCTCCTCCTTTCATTTTCTCTATTCTCTCTCTCTCCCTCCCTCCCTCTCATTATGCCCAAAGAAAAATAATGCAAAAAAAATGAGAAATAATATTTTAAGGAAGTAATTAAAAAAAAAAAAAATATTCGTTGGAGTGTATAGTGAAAAAGTGAGTAACTAAAATGAAAAATATTATTTTTTGAATACCTAAACTAACTTTTTTTTGGTTGAAGATGCTCTCACTAGTTTTATTTTCGCGTACAACCTAATAAAAAAATTATCACAACACTTATTTATTCGACCCACATCATGATTTTTTTTTAAAAAAAAACATATGACAACTTCACACGTGATAAGAATTAATTGGGAATATATAATATTTTATATGTGAGTTAAATCAGATAGTATTATCATGTAGTATCTCATAAACACCAAATATTATAGTATTAAATTGCTAAAAATATAATAACAACAATGAAACTTTAAACTCTAGAGACGAAGTTCAAGTTGTGACTCGCTGCTAAGAGTTTTTCGGTAGTGGAAAAGTTTGACTTGTGTTCATTAGTGACCAATAGGTATCAAATTAAGTTACCAGAAGATATAACAATATATATATATATATGTGTGTGTGTGTATGTGTAATGGTAAAGGCATCTTCAAATTCTAAGTTACAAGGAGAAGAAGGTTCTAATAAGTCTATGAAAGGGGACTTTTCTAATATGAAATGAAGATTAATATACTAAATTTGACTAGATTCCTTCGACTATGTTTTTTATTGTAAAGGTTATATTTATAAACTACGTAAATTCAACAAAAATCGTGTGCTAAGCCCAAGGATTCTAGCTATTAGGTCATTAATTACTTCTATAATAACCTAAAATTCAAATAAAAAATAGGATGAGTTTGCCCATTTTGCATAGATAGAAATCACCCACCTTTATGATCTTTAAGAGAGATAAAAAGTTAGAAGAATGAAAAAATAGGACGAATAGAATTTTCATCATTTGAAGAATGAAAAGTATTTTCTCTCTTTTATGTTTGATATAATGAATGGAAGGTTAGAGGCATTAATTTTTCATCGTTCGGTATTAGAGGAAAAATAAAAAGAAAGAAAATATGTATAGACTTAATAAACTTTTTGAAATAACACATTTGGTAGAAGATAGCAGATAAATTTTTGAAATTGAAAAACACGCTTCATTATTTTTTTTAACAAAATAATTTTTGTGAGTTTGTTAAATCAGAAAGAGAAAGGTCATTGGGATTCAAGCGAACAGTAACATGCTCACTAGACTGGCTCTTCTACAAGTTTTCTTCTTTCTTCTTGAACTTCCATGCATGTGTTTGATAGATGAGGAACAAATAAAAGACAAAAAAGTAAAATCACCATGAATAACCTAATCTCTCTCTCTTTTTCCTTCTATTTTCCCCCCAAATTTAGATGAAAAAATTTTGATGAACAAGGAGGAAAGAGAATACTTCCAACCTTTCTTTCCATCCTATTTTTCCTCTCAACCAAACCGTAGAAACATTTTTTTTCCATCATATTTTCCTCCCTCCATTTTTCTTCCACCATATTTTCCACTCTATCAAACATGGTATTGTAATCCAGTTATTGTGGTTCTAACCCACTAAACCATAGACCCGAGACTACTATGGGCCAACCTTTAAGGACACTACACCCCTTGTCATTATGGACTACCTAAACTTATTCGAATGTGGTCATTGATGTGATAGTGTTTTTTTTAAATACTAGGGTTTATTAGGTTTACGTATTGATTTAAAATCACACGTCAATGATAATATGTATTATAGTTACATTAAATAATTTGGCAAGGTCCACAAATTATGGATGGAGGAGGAGACCCACTGCTTCTTTTTTTTTTTTTTTTGGTATTGTGATCAGAGTGTCTGGATCAGCTTTCACGTATCTCGACTAATTTTTTCAGACCTTTCATATCAGAATTAAAAATTTGAAAAAAATAATCAAATTTCAAACCCGTCTAAATTTATTGTTAGTTCTAGTCTTCAATGGGCTACCTGGGTTTAGATCCACTGCTTTTGTTATGAACATCTCCTACACACACTGCTTATACCTTATGGGCCAACCGACCTCTCCAGCTTGACCACCTAACTATACTCTAAAGCTTCAGGGCCTGGGCTAGATCCAGTCAAATAATGTCTACTGATCGATAATGAGAGGACTCTTTGGGACTGCTTGGTAAGGGGATACGGCGGTTTGGTAAAATGAGTTTAGTAAAAATAGTTTAAAAGATTTTTAAATTTTATGTTTGGATTGAAAATTCAATCATAAGTTTTCTCAAACTCGGCCCATAGTGAGCCCGAATATTAAATCCATGATCATGGATTTCATCAAACCTAAGGGGGTGGGTTTAGGAAGATAGATTAAGAGATTAAGGATATAAAAGACAATTGTACCTCTTAACATGAGTATGAATTAGATTAATCAGGGATAAAATAGTCTTTTAAATGATAAATAGTTGTTAATAATTATAATATATATGTGGGTCTTACATGTGTATGTGTTGCATATCAAACATAAATATAAACCGGATTCAATATTGAATATCATTTTTGTAAAAAAGGGTTTGAGGTTAGAAGGGGTTGGGTAAGCTAATCCAATCCCTCTCCAAAAATCCATCCAAATAAGCTTTATATTTACAAAATCTAATTTAAAAAATTCTGATTTAGATTTTCATGTGATTATTTAACAATTTTTTTTTCACAAGGTCCAAAACTAGGAGTTAGATGGTCATTGGTTTAGGTTATTGGATTGGAATAATTAAGAGAAGATTAACCTGACCCCTAGCTAAAGTTGATGCACTAATTGAGAAACTTGGGTGAGTTATAAAATAGAAGAAACAAGGAGAGCCAATTATGATTTCAAAATTTACAGGGGTTCCTATGTAATTTCAATTTATCTATACCTTCTCAGTTAGGAAAGCAGACTAGTGATTTCCGCGTGAGCGAATCTCATTCAAATCTGACCCCAAAAAAAAATAAAAATCTCATTCAAATCACAACCAATCTTATTCCATTTTTTTTTTTTTGGTCATAAATCAGCATTTTTTTCTATTATCTTTAAATCAGCATAGGAGTGTTGATTCCATAACAGTTATCAGATTTTTTATCTTTAAGTAATGTGGTATAATCTCTATTATTAAATAATAATGGAATCCACTTATTTGATGATAAAAATTATACCGTATCACTTTTGTTTTAAACTATAGAGTATTCAAGTTTGCATCTACTACTCACTCGAGCTCTGCGCTAATAACCATAACTTGAATTAGTTTAAAAATATGTCTCGTTAGGAGCAAGAGTGACTGACTCTTAAAGTGTATAAAAAGTATCAAACTTAACACATTTTACTTGCAAGAGTACAAACTTAACCACTAGACTATCTATAAGAATTCTGTGCCACATCGCTTACGATAAAAAATTCGGTAAGAAAATTTAGTTTGCATAATAGTGTTGATTCCATAATCCAATTTCCCTTTTTGTCTAAAAATATTTTTTTTTGATATTTTAGTTAATGGTGTTTCAATTAATTTGTGTAAATTTTAACTAATTTTTTTGTCCATTCAATTAAAAATAAGCCATTCAAGTGGGGACGAAAAAAGTCGCATAGTCTGGTGTCAAGTCACTTGTCAAGTAACCAAATTTCACCACAAGACATCTCAGCCACTACGCGTTATTGCCAAAATGCTTCTACACTACGATTGTCGTCATGTCTCTGCACTCAAAATTAGCATCAATTTGCTGACCAAAAAAAAAAAGCAACACAGCTCATCGACAAATTCAAATCGCATCTCCATAAATCTTCCCCCACACACATCCTCATTAGCCCACTTTCACATATACTTCTGGATACGCACTCCCAGAGAGAAAGAGAGAGGACAACAATGGCGAAATCTTCTGATTTTCTCGTAATCTTTGCACTTTTCATCGGTGTCACCAACATGTTGCTTTCATTTTCGGCCGTTGAAGCTTCAACTTCAAGTGGGGACCACTACAAACTGGGCTGGATTCCGGCGATGTCGTCTGCGACATGTCGAGGGACGATTGCGGAGTGTCTAGGAGCTGGGGACGAGACGGAGTTAGGGTTTGAGTTCGAGATGGACTCGGAGATCAACCGTCGCATGTTAGCGGCTAGGAGATACATAAGCTACGGTGCGCTGAAGAGGAACACTGTGCCCTGTTCGAGACGCGGTGCGTCGTACTACAATTGCAGGCCCGGAGCTCCGGCCAACCCGTACACTCGTGGGTGCAGTGCCATCACACGTTGCCGTCGTAACGGTTAAGTCTTTTTTATTTTTATTTTATTATCTATAATAAATTCATATTCTATTTTTTTTCCTTTTTTATTTTTATTTTTTGAATTTTGGGTCTTTTAGGATCATATGAAAATTAAATGTATGCATTATCACAACATTTGTGCTTGGTGTTTTAATGGCCTAATTATTTGTTTTTATAAAATTAATATCATTTTTTATTATTTTTGTCATTTTAGAAGGATTTTAATTTCTAGGCTCGACAATTTAAGACATGAGCCGAGAACTTGACATTAAATCAACATAAAATTAATGAATTTTGAGTGAGGATTAGCGCATTCAAATAGTAAAAACGGGTGGATATTGAATACGAGCTCATTAAATACAATTTATACATGATATAAATTTGATATGCCACGTACCGAGTAATTGTATGGCATGAAAACAAACTGACGATGAGGATTGAGGATCAATACAGGAATTGATCATTAATAATAGAAAACGAAATTAATAGTAGGAATTGAACACGGTATCGAAAAAATAAATAATGGTAAATAGCATTAATAGCATTTCCATTGATGTATGAATGAACACTTTGGACTTGTCCTCCTTTCCTTTCATATCCACTCGTCAATATCATCTTTTTAGGACCACCAAAATAATTGAGTGTGTTGGGTTGGGTGGTTCCAACCATTTGCCATCTTTACCTTCCTTGAATCGGTGACACTCTCACTCAAAGCATTCATTCTAGCCCTAGTAATGTCTTTATCACTCCGAAAAACAGCATGTGTACAGCTCCAATAGGTTTGGATACAGTTGGAATGATCACTGTCCATTAGGATGAAGAGGTTTGGAACGAGTTTTTCCCCAAACCCAACCTCTCGGAGCTTAATTTCATAATTCAATCATTTTTAAACTTAATTATCAAACTCAATCTTTTTTTAAAAATATCATTTGAAATGACGTCTTCTCCCTAAAAAGGTCATTTGGAATGACGATTTGAACATGAAATTTTTTTTTTCCCTAAAACATCATTTTTAATGACGTTTTGTAACAAGAATTTTTAACGGAACTTAACAGACGTTTAAAAAAATAAAGAGGTTAAAAAATTATTTATAATGACGTTTTATATCATGTTATGTTTAATCACATTTTCTACGCCCTTAGCTTTTATATTGACATTTTTTATCCCTAAGCCTTTTACATTGAAGTTTTCTACCCCTTAACGTTTTACATTGACGTTTTCTTAGCCAAAAGTTTCCGACTACCAACTTGTAATAAATTTCATAAAAGCTAAATAACCTCACTTTATGTTTCACATCATGATTTACCAAATAAATAAATAAATAAATAAATTTTAGAATTTAATTCCTTTTTCATAAAAAATTTGAACTTATTTTATAATCGAAAATAAAATTCATAAAAGCATAATTTAATTTCATATTTTTATCTTTACTAATAAGATAGGACTCATTTTGAATCTTTTTCTACTTTAAAATTTAATTTATTTGAAAAAGCATAAGAACGACTCAGATTAAATCCACTTTTAATTCAAAGGCCCACATTTTCATCTCATTTCTTCTATTTCAATCCAATGGCTTGCAATGCATCTCAACCCAAAAAAAAAATCCCGCCCATTTTGAACCCAAACACACGCCACCCCCAATTAAACCCTCTGCCCCTCTCTCTCCAATCTGCCATGGAACTAGTAGCACAGCCCAGGTATACCCCCTTCTCTCCCTCTCTCTCTTTCACGACCCACAACACAGAACATAATGATGTGTTCAAGCATCATTATGTTCTGTGCCATCTTTTTTTACTTTTCCTATAATGGTTTTCATCATAATGATGCTTGAACACAGCACAGAACATAAAATTAAATTATGTAAGCTAATAAAATTAACAAAGCTCATGATAGAAAGGTACACATCCCATTTGCTCAATGTCCTTAAAATCCATCAAATGTCCTTACACATCCATCCAAAGAAAGGCGGCTTAAAACTTTCCTCATTTCACAAACAAAGGACCATATAAAAACAGCTTCCATAAAGCAAGAACTTTCCTCATTTCACAAAAAAAAATTGCATAACTATAACTATAAAAAAAAATTGAAAACACCCAAATTAAACACCAAAAGTTAAAAAAGACAAATTAAAAACACCCAAATTAAACATACCCAAATTAACCTAAATTCAAAAACCCAAACACAAATCACACACAGATTTGTGTTGTGTTTGTGTGTGTGTTATCTGTGTCTGCTGTGGGTCGTGAAAGAGAGAGAGGGAGAGAGAGATAGAGAGAGAGGTGGGTATACCTGGGCTGTGCTGCTAGTTCCATGGCAGAGAGAAGGAGCCGAGGAGGAGGGTTGTGCAGATGATTCCATGGCAGATTGGAGAGAGAGAGAGGAGCAGAGGGTTTAACTGTGCTTTCTCAAATAAATTCAAAATGAGTCCTATCTTATTAGTAAAGATATTAGTAAAATATATATTTAATAAAAAAACTTAAAAGCGTGTTTTGAAATTCTACAATTATAAATCATCAACGTACATCATTTCATTCATAGTCATCCCACACTGAGTATTAATCTTAATTTAGAACGGGTCGCTTAATATTTTTTTTATCATAATTTAGAATGGGTTGCTTGGTATTTTCTAAAACAATCAAACAAAGCCAATGGAAAAGCTAGAGTATCTGACATTGTTTTTGATTCCTTATAAGTTGGATCGATCCTTTATAAATTGGATCAATCCTGATCTCTTTTTTGTCCAAATTTCATGAATCGATTCACTTTCACAAGGATCAATCCCCTTCAACTCTCTCTGTAATTCTTTTTTCTTTTTTTTTTTTTTCTGATTTTCGCTTTCTAGATCAATCCTTCAATCCATGGGATCAATTCTTTGCCATGCGTATAATTTCCATATACTCTGCAATTTTATGCCATTTACTTGCAAATACCAATAAACATCCATGGAGGTTATCACTAATACAATGCTAGACAAATTGACCGAGGTGATTTTTGCAACCACCATGTGTGCAGCCTTCGCCACTGTTGGAATGCCTTCGATAGTTTACCTCGGAGTAATCCAACACGAACTCCCGAAATACACCCCCGCTCCCCTCCACATGCCCCCCGGCTAACCCCACCCACACCGTCAGCTCCTCCCACCTATCCATCCCTTCCAAGTAAACCACCACCCAATTGGCACCCCAGCAGTCTCCAAAATGGTAGCCATAGTAATGAAAACCTCATGCAAATGTGGCACCACCTTTGAATGGGTAGCGAGTCTCTCCTTTCTTCTATTTCTGAACCTTCTAAAAATTAGAATGAGAGCAAAAAGAAAAACTTAGCTCATGCTAAGCAACTGCATGAGCTAAAAAAGGCCTTACATGCCAGCATATTTTGATCAAATACTAGTCAATGACTCGCCACCATTTTGGAAAAAAAAAAAAAATACAAGACACTCAAAAGGTCAACCAAAGAGTTATCTTCCCCTTTACAAAGGCTGCAAAAACAATCCACCAACACCCCCACCAAGGAACCCGAAAAAGAAGGAAAAGGCGATGTGGGGAAACACTATTTAAACTGGTTATGAACAACAAAATTCGCCCTTTCATCTATTTCTCTTGGAAGCAGCACCAGCACCTCGTCCCCCTCTCTTATCTTTGCTATCAGAACCGCCTTTTCCTCTGCCTGCTGATGCCTTTTTAGCCCCACTATTTCCAGCACCCTTCAATTCCACATCTACTTGGATTCCTACTCAAAAAAGAAAACAAAAACAAAAGGGTAAAAGTATATGTATCTGGTTATTACTTGTAATACCATCAATTCTCGCAAAATTAAATCGAAAATACCAGATGAGAAGTGGAGATTTCCCCCATTTAGTAGAGAGAATTATCGCCTACCCTTTGAATTAAGACCCTGTAGATCCAACTGCAGCTTCTTCTCACCATCAGCCGAGCCTTCTGACACAAATCACAAGCACCAATAATTCAAAATTATGAAAACACCACCACCAACATAAAACCATCTAATATAATCCAAGGAAAACATCAAACATTGCCTGATACCCACAAGCTGTACATCTTGATAAATAAATCAGTAAATAAAAATAAAAAATATCCCAGGCTATAATATTTATTTGTGGAATTTAACCTAGAAATGAAAATAATCAGCACAAACTTCTACAATTTTACATTTATATAGAATAACAAAAAACATTAAAAATGTGATGGTCCCGCAGAGTTTCAGTGAAACAAAACCGATATGAAAAGACACCTCATTTAGGTAAAAACATTTCCACATCTCAGCATCAATACAGCATTTCTTTTGCTCTACCTCCCAATTTAAACAAAACTCGGATGGGAATTTATTCTTATTTTGAGTGGGTAGTTCCAGCCCTTTTCTACAGCAGTAACAACTAGCTTTGTAACTCTATTACGTATTGCAAACAAATCTTAGATTCACCTTCTTGATATCTGTTCAGAAAACACCCATGAACACAGATCCATGAGCATCGCCCGAACCCATAAGGCCATTTAATAAATGAACTGCACCCCAATAAAACTCAAGAGAACCGCTCAGACTCAGACAATACATCACGAATTCAAGTCTGAAAATAAACAGTTCCAAAATATCATACATTATATTAAGTCACGTTACAAATTCTTCTTATAAAATGTCATTTTAAATGATGATTTTAAAAATGTCATTTTTAATGAGATTTTAGAAAAATAATTTATGTTCAAATCGTTATTTTAAATGATATTTTTAAAGAAAAAAACGTCATTTCAAATGACGTTTTTTTAAAAAAATTGAGTTTATGAATTAAGTTTAAAAGTGATTGAATTATGAAATTAAGTTTGGAAAAAAACTCGGTTTGGAGCTCCTCTGTATTTGATGAGGTAATAAACAGTGTCTTAGATTGACAATTTGGGTTGGATTGGGTTGGGTTGGGTCGGGGGACCTCGAACGAATAGCCTTTTTATTTGACTTTGTTCTTATTACAGTGTTATTTGTAACATAGAATTCA